CCCTCGTCGGCGAGGAGCCGGTTTTACCGGGTTTGGATGCGTTTTGAGGGGTTTTGTCCGATTCGGCCTCTTTCTGAAGGAGCCGTTCTCGTCCCGAGCAGTACGACCCTCTCTCCGGTTTGCTGTAATTTTAGTTTTAAGCACGGGTAACCCGGCCGTTACCACTGTCTTGCCCCTTGAGGCCGTGGCCGCGCTGAGGGGCCAGAGCTCCGCTGCCAGAGGAGGGAGGCTGGGGTGCAGAAGTGGAGCAAGAAGGTGGGAGGAGGGAGTGGGCTATGTCACTGCGGGGGACAGTGACCGTTTTGGGGACTTGTGAAGATGAGAGACTTTGGGGACATCCCTTATTCTGCGAGTCAAGGGCAAGTAAAATGTAAACTTAACCCCGCGGCCTCTCCCAAGCTTGTAAAGAAAAAGGGTTCTGAAGTGTCCAACAGACCCAGATAGGAAATGTTCAGTGAGCACCACATGCTCTGTCCGGGCATGCACATCGTCTGTCTTATATTGCAGGTGAGTTTGGGACCTTATTGATCGTGTTTTTAGAAAACCAGCTACATCTCTTTCTGACCATCTGTAGTTCTGTTGGTTTTATATTTTTACAACTGTCCAGTTTACTTTTTTTTAGCAACTGTGAATGCTTGGTTTTCCTTCTCGGGGTGATGCAGTTTTTGTTGTTTGTGTTCCCGTTCCTCCAATATAATTACTTAGGCACACACTGAAATGAATTAAAACACTGTGATATAGATAGCATTTGGATGCCAGAAGGTATGATGTCAGAGAGGGGATAATAACTTTAGTAAAATGGGACTTCTGTTTTAAAAAAGTATTTAAAATCCCATATTAACTTCCAGGGAGTTACTTTTATCTTCACAGAATTTTATTTTCATGATAAATGGAGCTTGCATATCTCATGTAGGCAGTTGTTCCTATCTCGTACAAAGTAGCGTATCTATGATTTTAAACATCAGTGGTGTTAGGACTCTGAGATAAAGTTGTGTTACTGTGTTTGTATTCGTTAAGCTCGTCAGGACCATGCAGTGTATCAGAATGACTATTAGGGTAATTTTGTAAACAGGCCTTTTATTTTGTGTCTTGACAAAAAGAAATCTGCTGGCTTATCTCTCTCTATATATAAAGAAATCTTAACTTAATCCTTTCTTAAAAAAAAAAATCAAACCCTTCTTTACCTTAAACCAGAGAGAATTTGTCTCCTTTTTGAGAGGAGACCTGGGAGGACTGCGGCCTTTTCACCCTCACCAGGAGCAGCAAACGCAGGGTGCCTGACTGCTGGAATAATCTGTACTTGCCCCTTGAACTTCATCGATATACGCCTTGTTTCTATCGCAAATTATGAACAGTTTTCTTTTATGTGAGGTGATTTTATGTGTACTTTTCTGGTACACTTCCTATTTTCAGGCAGGAGCTCACTGCTCACGCTTGAGGCTTGTCTTCATCACACTCTTCCTGTTTTGAATCGCCCTGCCATGTTCCTGAAACCAGATTTGACCTCTCTTTCTACTTTTCCCCTGTTGGGTTGGGTATCACCTTAAGCATGTTTTAGCTGGGTCCGTAACTGTATCTCTTTCAAAAATTCTTTAAATAAATTCTAGCACAGAAATGTCATGAAATTAAATTTAAATCTGAAGTATCAATTCTCCCATAACCTGACAGGGTGCTCTCTGTTTCTTTGGATTATCTGTCGGTTTTAAGTAGAATTTACAAGCAAGGCCACAGCTTTTTTTCTTCAGAAGAACTTTAAAGTCCTGTTTCTGCTGTAAAATGACCAAATAAACAGCAGCTGATGTTACCGTGCCTAAATGGCCACTGTTTGGAGCTGGTTATGTTATGTATTGAGATGAGTGGAAAGGAGGAAACCTGATGGTGAGTGCTAGTCAGAACAGAGTGAGGTTCACGAGCAGCTGTATCTGGTGATTGAAACAAGAAATGCAATGGCTTTCAGAAGAATCCTGTTAATTTATGAATGGGTGTGTGGTAAGGTTGCCTGTAATGAGACGGGACCAGACTCATTAACCTGGAAGGCTGCCTCCAGTCTTGGGTTGTTAGGTTAGTGCTAATGCATCTCATTCCATTGTTGGTTCTTTTTTCTCCTTGGTAGTGAAAGTTGTTAAAATAATGGAGTGATTAATAAGGAGGTTGCGTGCTTGTCATTAATTTGTTGGGTTTTTTAAATTAGGTTAGGCTTTTTTCTAAAACATATGCTTTCATTTGGCTCTGGGCTGTGATAGTTATCATCTGTGAATGGGTGCTCCCATCCCTCATGGCCCGTGGCTTGAACAGGTTTGCCTACACTGCCTTCAGCACATGCACAACATCAGCTCTGCTTGAAAACCACAGCTATGATCAGATCTCGTGTTTCACAGATTCAGTAAATTTATTACATGAGTCAGAGAAGACTTTTTTATAATGCGCAATTGCTTAGATGTATTCTGACAGGAAGCAGGAGATCTCTTATCAGATACCAGGCTTATGTTGTACCCACTTATTTAGCCTCAAACTCGTCCCTGGATTTGAAATTAAGAAGAATTTTCAAAAATAGAAGAGATCTTGAATAATTCTTTCTTTTTCCTGGGATGTGGTAGATCTGAAGATACCGCTGTTCCACTGCTTGTTCCTGCAGGGCTCTCTGCACCTTGAGTCTCATGTGTCACTGACAGAAAACTGGAGTTTCTTCTGAAGACATTCCTACTCTGTTTTTATACTTTCTAATGTTCAAAGCTACACACTAACTAGTGTATATTATTTGCTACTTCATCTTCCATCAGTTGTCTTTCTGGTTTGCTTATGAGGTGGCTTCAGTTTGGCTTTGTTCAGAGTTAGTTTATTTGACTGACAGTTTTTGATTTTACTGAGCTTTAACTTGATACATAGGTCTTGCTCTTTTTTTTAATATGACACTCTTGAGTGTTTTTATTATTTAAAATGGAAATTAAAAGCCATTGTAAATTATATAGAACTGAAGACTGAGTAGTATGTAAAAAAGCATGGCTACTCTTGCCACTTTTCATTTATAGTCTTCGGAGTTTTTCAACAGAACTGGTAGAACTTTTCTTAGAAATATTTTTGTAGGACTCCACTAAATGGCAAACAAGCACTTCAAGAAGGTGATAAATTTAGGATCCTGTTAAGCTTACAAAAGGAAGTATTTTCATGGGAAGAACTGCAAACAGTGGGGCCTTTTTCAGAGTTTCCACTGGAGGTCTCCTTGCTGTCCTGGGACTCCTCCATCCCCAGGGAGTGCAGGGGCTGTTATTCCCCAGCATCCAGGGGCCCAGCAAGGTTATAACATTTAAATACAATTAATGTATTCTTTTTCAGATCCTTGTTGGGCATCTATAAACAGGGGGATTCTGATCTGTGATGAGTGCTGTAGTGTTCATCGAAGTTTGGGGCGTCACATCTCTCAAGTGAGACATCTCAAGCACACGCCATGGCCTCCGACACTGCTGCAGGTAAAAAGTAAAACCGTGTCTGCCTTCATCAAAACTAGATACAGTATTTTTTTTAACATTTTTTAATGGGATTTAAATCGCTAAGCTTTTGTTTGAGAGGGGTGGTCCTTTCAAGCTTGCTTTTTCCAAGTTAGTTTCCTTTTATTTCTCTTGTTCTGCCATGATGGACCACTAAAATTGGAATTGTCTATGCCTTTTTGATACCTTTGTTTTGGAAGGTCCCCTTCAACTTTTCTTTCAGACTTCTGCAGTGCATCTGCTTCAACCTAAATTTTCAATACATAGCAAGCCTCTCTCTTCAGTAGAGAAGTTGTTGGGATGAGTAGAGAATTTTAAGGGCGTTTTTATTGCATTTCACGTAATAACCTCCTAGGTGTGTGCCTGGTCCTGATATCCCGGCAGGATGTGAGTGCTGGCACACAGAATATGAATCTCTGTTGGCTTGCTGTCCGCTTGAAAATAATTGTAGGCTTTTAATTCATTAGTCTGTGCAGCTAGAAGCAAAATTTCTTTACTGCCTGTTTGTATACATTTTGGATTTCAGATGGTTGAAACACTGTATAATAATGGTGCTAACTCCATATGGGAACATTCCTTGCTGGACCCTGCCTCTGTTATGAGTGGAAGGCGCAAAGCTGGCCCACAGGATAAAGTGCAGTAAGTGAAAAGTTACAGAACTTGTGTTTTTGTAGAAGCGTGATTATTTTATTCGGCAGTGACAGAGGCAGCAATGTATCTATGGAAACCTGCATATATTTTGTTGCTAGAAGAGAACAGGAGTGAACTAGTTATTTGTTCACTCTTTTTATTTATTTTTAAAAACTTCCAATGGTTAATTTTTTAAAATGTATTGCAAAAGTGAAAATACAGTGCTTGAATTCTCTGAACTGTTGTTTCCTGATCTATAGTTTTGACTAGTGAGGACCTTTATTTGTACTTGGATCAAAAGACTTTTGATGCCATGTGCTTCAGTTAACTGAGTGCTGCTAACGAGATTGAGTTTGGTTGATGAATTAAAAAAAAACTGAGAGAAGACTTCTTCTGTCATGAATATAGTGCTTCATTTTAAAATGTAAATAACTGCATATACTAAGTATGGATCTTAAGTTGGCATAATTTGAAGTTCTAGATTCTGCAGATGTTCTGATGTTTAACAAAAGTATGCTCTGTTTAGTTAGACAATCTGCACTGGGTTGTTATTTTTCATGAAAACCTTTCTCTAACTTTGCTACTAGTAGCATGCAAAGATCTAACGCAATCTTCACTTGCTCTGGAAAACAGAAAATTGACACCTGTTACTGTGAAAGCATTAATATTTGTTTTCATGCCCTTCTGTTGCTTGGGTTTCTCTTTACAGTCCCAATAAAGCAGAATTCATCAGAGCTAAATATCAAATGTTAGCATTTGTTCATCGCCTGCCATGCCGTGAAGATGACAGTGTTACAGCCAAAGATCTCAGTAAGGTTAGTATGTTTTTTTGGGCAGTCTGCAGAAGCTACAGCTTGTGTGTAGCAGCACTGAAATCTGACTGAATTAAATTAGTTCTTTTTGAAACAAGACAACTATTGCTGCTCTTCAGCACTGTTATGTAAATGAATAGAGTTTAGGTTCACTTGGAGGAAAACGTATACACAAAGGAGCTGCAGCAAGAATTCTTGCCTACCTGTTTCTAAAAGCACAGCTCAACAAATGAATGCTGAATCACAGTTATTGTTGCTGTATTAAGTACAACTCTGCTTCTTTTTCAGCAACTCCATTCCAGTGTAAGGACAGGGAATCTGGAGACGTGTTTGCGATTGCTCTCCTTAGGAGCTCAAGCCAACTTCTTTCATCCCGTATGAACACTTTTTTCATTACTTTGATATGCTATCACTTCTTAGTTTGTAATACTTACACTAATTTCAGCTGATGCACGTTTTATTTCAGTCTTCTACTCAGACCTGTTGATTAAGTAGAGTGATGTGCTTGTTTTCTTACTGACTTGTAGGAGAAAGGAAACACCCCACTCCATGTTGCTGCTAAGGCAGGACAGACTTTACAAGCAGAATTATTAGCTGTTTATGGTGCTGATCCTGGTACGCAAGATTCCAATGGGAAAACTCCAGTTGACTATGCAAGGTAGAAGGTTCTGATACATGTGATGCTCTTGTGTAGTAACTGATGTTCACAAATTGCATGGTGAACCTGCTTTTGATATATTTCTGTCCTGAAAATGATTTGACTGTTGGATGCTATATAAATACTTTTTCCGGAAATCATGGGTGCATAAAGAGTATAAATAAGCGTTTTCAGAATTTCCTAGGCTGTTTTCTCCTGGATGCTCCAGACAAACATTTTCAGTGGCAGTGAACTGCGAGGTGCATCCAGTCCCAGAACTGTACCCGCAGGAAAGCCCACCTTTGGAAAAGCATTCATGTCAGGAAAGATTAAAGATGAGTGCTCTGCTGGTCAGTTGTGCAGTGATGAGACTTGGAGCACAGCACTGAAGGTTTGTTTCTATGCAAAATTGGACATTCGTAATCAACTAGACGCTGCACATTTGTGTAAATTGAACATATTCATTGCTCTGATTGCCTTTGGCCATACATGGAGCCTGAAGACTGAAGAAGTTCACTTGGTTGCAAAACACAGTATGCCAGAATATTTCTTTTTCTCGATGCTAGTAATCAAATGTGAAGTTTGGTGAGCTTGCTGCATGAGCTTAGAAACAGTCTAGAAAATTGTAAGTAACTTATTCAAAATAGACTACATCATCTGTTTTGTTTTGTCTTGTTTTTTTAACAGCAAAGCATTAGGCAAAGCTTTTCCGAGTTTTCATTGATTCATGTTGGGGAGTTCATAAAAGTTCATCTCTGTTTTTTTTGCCTGCTGGAATATACCGTTTAAAATCCTGCTGAGAGTTTGTGCTGTGTTGATGCTCTCAACCGTGCAGTGTTGAACAATGGCTTGTACTAAATCTGTATCTTTGACCGTTTTAAAATTTTTTAATATGTCTCAAAATGAATAATTAATGTAACTTTTTTGTGTGTGTAAACCAGACAAGGTGGGCACCATGAACTGGCAGAGCGCCTGGTGGAAATTCAGTATGAACTCACAGACAGGTTGGCTTTCTATCTCTGTGGCAGGAAACCAGGTAAGTAGAAAAAACTACACTCCGAGATTTTTCAATGTTAATTGTAGGACAGTTTGAACTATGGTACGTAATGTTCGTGTCAGTGTTACTGTGCTTTTTATATACACTTTGAATATTCTGACATTATAGGAAGGATGCAGGAGAAACTTAAAGAACGAAGAAGATGTGAGATTAGTGATAATGCATTTAAAATTCAGATAAAACCACAGGGTTTTAAGTATGCCTACATTAAAAAATAAGTTCCTCTCTGTTTTTCCACAAATACGTGTTCTATAAATGTAATACCTGTGAAAATAGGGAGAAACCTACATATAAGATCAGATGAGTACTCTTTAACTTCTCTAACTTTCACTCCTCTTTAACTTCAAGGAGTGAATTGCCAGGGAAATACAGATTTTGTGACTCTTGTAAAGTCTGCAGGAGATATTGTAGAAACTCTTCTAAGTAGTTTCTTCTCATTGAAATGCAAAAGCAGGGCAGTATTCAATTAAGTGAGTACCTTTGGAACACAAACAAGCCTAAAAATTTTTAGCCATTAAGTGCCATAAAGGCACCTACATTAGAACTGTTTTTTTAATGGAATTTTAATACGGTTGTTAAGCCTTAATTGCAGTCTTTGATAACACCAGGAAATTGTGGTAAGAACCTTCTTTTAAGCCTTTCCAGTTTCCTGTAACTGGAAATGGATGAATTATGTGCAAGATAAATTATCCTGTGTTTGTGTGTTGCTTATGTTCTTGGGTTTCTCACTACTATGTCTTTTAGTAAAACTGAGCACAAGCTGTATATCCTGACAGCATTGCAAACCGTAGTCCAGTAACAACCGATTAAAGTGCAATTTGTTTTCAACCCTAGAGCATAAAAATGGACAGCACTTTGTTATACCTCAGATGGCAGACAGGTAAGTTGCTGATTCTGTGGCATGTCTGAAAACATCAAAATAATTAAAAAAAACCCCAACTAAGTTTCCTTTCCTTTCTGAAACAACTTTCAAGCTTGTTATAATTCTCACTTTTTAAATGTGGGCTTTTCTCAATCTTGGAAGCTTTTTTTTTTTTCCTCTAGAAAGAGTATTGTCGTTTAAACACAATTAGAAAAATCACAGAAGTTTGCAGTATTTGTTAAAATGCAGGGGGAAGGTGAAACAGATGTAATAAGGGAACACACACAGGAATTCCTAGGAAACAGATTTTTGTAAATCATGTAGGGACCAATCGACTTAGTTTCCCATTACAGCATTTTTGAAACTAATACTTGCAAGAAAGCTGTGTTTTTCTCGTAGTCTTCATACTTTTGATCATCTGAGTGCTTTTAACTTTTGGTTATGATCATAAAACATCAAGAATTAATCGTAAGCCCCCATTTTTCTTTTATTGCTATTCAATTGGAAATAAGACGGCTGTAAGTAAACTACTGTTCAACTTCTGGCTTGCAAAACCTCTTTGAAACACTGTAATAAGATAAAAATTATAGAAACTATGTAATAGTTGGTAAAATACTTGGTGTCAACATTTGTAACTTTGTTAGATGTGCTGTGTTTAGCTGCTGGATCCAGTACAGCCTACTTTCAGTGCCAAGTAATTTGCAGAGCTGAGGAAGTATCACTTGCCTTGTTACATGGGGAAGGAAGTTGACATGGCAGAGAAAATGACTTGTGCAAAGATGCTGCTCAGATTGCAGAGCCTGCAGTGCAGCCTGTCTCACCTCTGCCTCGTGTTCTTTGCTGCCCTTTCCTCTATTTTTCTTTTACTTTCTGTCTAGGTGGCTGCCTACACAAACTCTGTATGGTTAACTGGCATCACAGAGGGGTTTTATTTGAGCCTTTCCATCCTTGTAGGTCAAGGGAGGCTTCCCCTGGCTGCTATAAATATGGACTCAAAAGTTTGTCAGCTTCCTGATCCATGGCTCTTAGGATAAATTTGGTTAAACTGCCCAATTTTCATTTTGTGCCTCATGTTCAAGGCTGAAAACTAGTAGAAGAGAATAATTTTAAGCATGGCACTGTTGCTGTAGCCACTTGTCTTGAGCTATACAAATGTGGGTATTCATATTCCAAAGGATTTTGAGGATACTTTTGTTTTAAATTTAAGATTATTGTTTAGAAAAGCTTAA